TACTTACAGAAAGTGAAGAATTGTTTCTTGGAGAGAGAGAGAGAGAGACATGCTTGTCCCTCCCTGTAGCTGCAGAGCACTCCCCCAGAGAGACAAAAGGAGAAAGGAAAAAACCCAAATTCCTTTGTCCCAGTTTGAAAGTCCTACCTACATTCCTATTGGCCACTCCACCTGGCTAGGTGTAGTTAACCCCTTAATCCCCAGGCTGCTGGGTAACCCTCACAATCATGACAGCTTGTACCACGTCTTCCCCTACCCACTCCAGTCGGGGCCGGGCCCCCACGCACACTAACCTGCCTGCAGAGATGGAGGAGGGTTGGGCTAGAGGTGGAGAGGAGGCTCCAGCCGGCAGCAGTGGGCACAGGAGGAGCAGGTGAGTCGAGGGATGACGGGGGAGTGAAGGGGGACTAAACTGACACCCCACGCAGCGTGGCGCCAGGGGCAACTGCCCCTCCCTCCCCCGCAATGAGTCCCACTGCTGATTGACCGAGCAGGCAGCTACTGACAGGAAAGACTCAGTTCCTTTTGGTCTCTTTAAGACCAAACGAATAAGTCACAAGCAATCATGTATTTGATTGATCACACTGCTTCTCTGCAATCATTGTCTGGGAGCAGCTCCCGCTTCTCTCTAATGTGCCAGTTCTTCTTAAACACTTGCTGAATAATGACAATGAAACAATTTTTAAAAAAAGTGTTTATTTTGGGTCTGCACATCCTAAACTCAAAACTCCGGTCATCTGAAGAAGTGGGCTGTGCCCACGAAAGTTCGCCATACCCTCTACATGTTTTGTTATTCCATAAAGTGCTACCAGACCATTGGTTGTTTTTTAAGTTTATGAAGCAATTGTTGGTCTGAAGTTGACTTGAGAGCACTTTGCTCTGAGCCATCAGTGTGTGCAAAGGGACTGGCTAGGAGCAGGACATCGGCCTGGCAGGGGAAGGGCTGCCGTGGCAGTGACATCACAAAGACCTGTTGCAGGACCGCAGCCTATTGGTGGTGGGGCGGTGGTGACCTCACAGAGAGACTCTCACATCAGGCAGGACAGAGGTACAAGGCAAGGGGCAACCTCAGAGACACCCCCCTCTTATGGCTTTGTGGAAGGCCATCCCAAAGAAACGGGGCTAGGATTGCTCTGAGATTAATCGCCTCTGGTGATGACCCAGGACATCGGCTGAGACCGCTCAGCCTCCCTCCTCTCAGAGCCTTGATGCTGATTGGCTGAGCAGAGGGAGAAGTTTTCCCAATATCCCAGCTCTGACCCCTGCCTATCCCTTCCTTCGTCGGTTCTACACAAGGCCTTGTCTGACCTCAGGCAGGCCATGCTGACGAACTTACTGGCAGAATCCCCACACCCAGACAGGCTCCAATATTAGGTGGGACAGGGGGCAATTTTACCTTAGTGCTGGAGGGAACTGGAAAGGGAAGACTGGAAATCCATTTTCCAGCACCCCACTGGGCCATCCTTGGTCAGGGCAATGCAATGGTGGGCCCTTCCTCCTTCAGGAGGAGATGGAAAAGGATCAGATGGAAAGGTAACAAAATATACTCATGGAGGAATTACACCATGGGCTAGAACTTAGTTAAAAAGAAAAGCCAAACATCTTTTAACCAGTGCCAGATCTCAGATCCCATACCCAACCCTTAAAACAATAAAGCTGAATGAAACTACCTAAATTTTACCCTACTTACAGAAAGTGAAGAATTGTTTCTTGGAGAGAGAGAGAGAGAGACATGCTTGTCCCTCCCTGTAGCTGCAGAGAACTCCCCCAGAGAGACAAAAGGAGAAAGGAAAAAACCCAAATTCCTTTGTCCCAGTTTGAAAGTCCTACCTACATTCCTATTGGCCACTCCACCTGGCTAGGTGTAGTTAACCCCTTAATCCCCAGGCTGCTGGGTAACCCTCACAATCATGACAGCTTGTACCACGTCTTCCCCTACCCACTCCAGTCGGGGCCGGGCCCCCACGCACACTAACCTGCCTGCAGAGATGGAGGAGGGTTGGGCTAGAGGTGGAGAGGAGGCTCCAGCCGGCAGCAGTGGGCACAGGAGGAGCAGGTGAGTCGAGGGATGACGGGGGAGTGAAGGGGGACTAAACTGACACCCCACGCAGCGTGGCGCCAGGGGCAACTGCCCCTCCCTCCCCCGCAATGAGTCCCACTGCTGATTGACCGAGCAGGCAGCTACTGACAGGAAAGACTCAGTTCCTTTTGGTCTCTTTAAGACCAAACGAATAAGTCACAAGCAATCATGTATTTGATTGATCACACTGCTTCTCTGCAATCATTGTCTCTGAGCAGCTCCCGCTTCTCTCTAATGTGCCAGTTCTTCTTAAACACTTGCTGAATAATGACAATGAAACAATTTTTAAAAAAAGTTTTTATTTTGGGTCTGCACATCCTAAACTCAAAACTCCGGTCATCTGAAGAAGTGGGCTGTGCCCACGAAAGTTCGCCATACCCTCTACATGTTTTGTTATTCCATAAAGTGCTACCAGACCATTGGTTGTTTTTTAAGTTTATGAAGCAATTGTTGGTCTGAAGTTGACTTGAGAGCACTTTGCTCTGAGCCATCAGTGTGTGCAAAGGGACTGGCTAGGAGCAGGACATCGGCCTGGCAGGGGAAGGGCTGCCGTGGCAGTGACATCACAAAGACCTGTTGCAGGACCGCAGCCTATTGGTGGTGGGGCGGTGGTGACCTCACAGAGAGACTCTCACATCAGGCAGGACAGAGGTACAAGGCAAGGGGCAACCTCAGAGACACCCCCCTCTTATGGCTTTGTGGAAGGCCATCCCAAAGAAACGGGGCTAGGATTGCTCTGAGATTAATCGCCTCTGGTGATGACCCAGGACATCTGCTGAGACCGCTCAGCCTCCCTCCTCTCAGAGCCTTGATGCTGATAGGCCAGAGATAAGGAAACCCAGCTGGGAAATGGGACCCAACAGAAGAGTGACACTGACAGAAGCCAGACAATGGGACTCCTGGTTAAATGATCCACCTCCCATCTGACACTGTCCCCCATTAGGTAATGGGAGCCCTGTTAAAACTTGCCAAATCTTCTGAGATTGATCCTAAATGAAATAGTAGGAGGGGACACACAGCTGGGGCCAACTCCCCACCACCAGGCACCAAGGCTACTCTACTCATTGTAGGAAGCCCTGCTATTCTGGGGGGCCAGAAATGCAGCCTAATGGGAATGGAAGAATAAAGCCACCAAAACCAAACAGAGAAATCTGACAATGAGAAGTAGCTCCTCCTACAATGGAATGGGAAGGGTTTGGGCAGTGGAGGTCACTAGACAGGAAGACACATCCATTCCAGGGTACCAGTTGCCATTAATCCTCCCAGATTCCTGGGGGCATCTAAGTTATAGAATCACAGAACACTAGAAATGGCAGGGACCTTGAGAGGTCAAGTCCAGTCCCCTGCTCTCAAGGCAGGACTAAGCTGTGGCCAACCTAAGGCTTTCAAGCCGCATGCGGCTCGTCCCCCCTCCTCCCCGCCAGGTGTGGCTCGCAAGCCACCCCCGTGCCTCCAAAAACAGCTCTCTTCTCCCGGCTCCCTGTGCTGGCCTGGGCAGGGGAGCTGACCAGCCTGGCCATGAAATACTAGAATTAAAGATGACGTTGGCTGGCAGGAGCATAATGTGGCCAAAAAGCCTCTAAAAGCGTTTAAATGCGTTTTCTTAAAGGGGCAGAGGGTTTTTTCCCGTTTTTTTTCCTCCTCCAAACATGACCGGGGGCTCCTTTTAAATGGACAGGGTTTTTTTGGGGGGGAGGGCAGGGGGGGAGTGTCCGCTTGACAACTTTGCCCCGGCTCTTCACGCTAGATCCACTACTATCTTGGCTCTTGGCCCAGAATGGGTTGGCCACCCCTGTTCTAGACTTGTATCAGGGATGGTCTATCTAACCAGCTCTTAAATATCTCCAAAGATGGGGATTCCACAACCTTCCTAGGCAATTTATTCCAGTGTTTAACCAC